ATATATATATATATTGCAATTACTAGAGATTATCTCTTTATTTTATAATATTAATTTGCGAATTTGATTTATGAACTGACAAAAACGTTTGACGAACAGAATAATCTTACGAGATTAATAATGCCAATGTAGTTGTATTTTATTTAGCCAAGCATGTTACATATTTTGCGTCAATATACGCCGTACTTATGTACGGAATCATCTCAACATTTCAATCACTGACATACGCCAATATTGCATGATTCTTTAGACTTATTCAAAACACCAAGTATGCATGTTGACATGTTAAATAAAGACGTGAATTAATATTTAATGTCTCCGTGCTGACCTTATCATGGACGTCCGAATATTTACTAAGGTTCTAGAAATGTTACCGGTCTGTACGCGTTTATTATGCATTATGCACCATTCCGAACACGACTTACTGCGATGGGTCGGAAAACCGAGCTATAAACAAGACACACTAAAGCGAAGGACGAGTGATCCACTACACGGTTAACTCTTTCAGTACCGAGAGAGAGAGAGAAAGAGAGAGTTCTCTCAAATTTATGACAATTTATATTCTATATACATATGATATTCTATATTTCTTGCTGAAATTTTTTGATGCAACACTTATAAAATTTAAATTTTTGTTAATTATGTGTGACCAAAGTAACAAGATAATTTATTGCCATTCTTAAAATCTATATCAATAAATAGAAAATAGAAATCAAAAAAGGGAGAAGATAAATTTATTAGTTTTCTTTAAATAAACCGTCATGGTTTTTCTATATACTATATATACATTATATTTTTATTCTTTTAGTCAGAAAACTTACATGTAAAATATTAAGTTCTTTAAATTACAACTTAAAACATAAAGATAAATCGACATATCAATATGACGTTAAAGACATATGTTTATGTGTCTTACAAACGGCACAAAAATCTGCCCACGATTGGGAAGACTAACGGTTGTTATACATATAGATTCGGAATGACAGAATTTCCATCCGCGCCAAACGGAAGTAAAAGTTTTACCGCGTTTCCACCGTGAAAAAGCGCTATCGAGGGAAATGGTGGCCGGCTGTGTTCGGCTGATTACTGGTGGCAGCTTAAAAGCGATGATACATACAAACGTAAATCAAACGATGAAGTATTTTCAATGTGTGGTATCTCCTCCCAGTCCCCTCTCTCCCTCCCCCAGTTCGGCCGTGTTAAGTCGCGTCGAATAACGGGGGTAGGAAAATCTCCCGCAATATTTACTTCCATTTTGTCGCGACGCAGTAAACCGGTTAAAAGTTTTGAATCGCGGCAAATTTACGCGTAAATCGGGTGCACGTTCTATATAAACAAATGTTGGATTTGCACTTTAGCGTTTAGACAGTAAATCTGTATTTTTACTCAATGTGGGTAAAACGAAAAATTTGTCCGCTAATATGTTATCCGTACAATTGTGGCAGATTTTAGTCTCATTGTGTTTTTATTTAAACAAAAATAAAATATATGGTGAAAATATAGTATCCATTTAGTATGTTTAATTATAATTATATATTTTTCCGAAATTGTGTATTTTTTTTAAATAATGGAATTGAAACTTGTAATTATTCGACAACTCTTTAATTTTTATAAAATTTTATA